CTGCCTTCCTTCTTTCTTTTCCCCTACCAGTGCTTAGAATGCAGCACTGCAGGCTAACTCTGCCCACTGCCAGGAGTTCGATCTGTTTCCAGATTGACTCAGCCTCCCATCCTTCCGAGGTAGGTAAAATGGGGACCCAGATTGTTGGGGGCAAGAGGCTGACTCTGTAAACCGCTTAGAGAGGGCTGAAAGCCCTATGAAGCGGTATATAAGTCTAACTGCTATTGCTATCATGGGCTTAGCCTATCTCATGGGGTTTTCCAGTAAGGCTGCCATATCTGACGATGCGCATTGCTACGCAGAGTCCTTTGAGATGGGCGGAAGAAAAAAAGGAGGGAAAGGAAGGCAAAAGAAAGAGATAGAAAGAGAGATAGCAAGAACACTTAGTGTTATATACCGCTTCAAGGTGCTTTTGCCGCCCTCTCTAAGCGGTTTACAGAGTCAGCCTCTTGCCCCCAACAATCTGGGTCCCCATTTTACCCACCTCGGAAGGATGGGAGGCTGAGTCAATCTGGAAACAGATCGAACTCCCGGCAGTGGGCAGAGTTAGCCTGCAATGCTGCATTCTAAGCAGTGGTAGGGGGAAAGAAGGAAGGAAGGCGGACAGGTAGGCAGGCAATAGCACTAAGACTTATATATACCGCTTCATAGTGCTTTTACTGCCCCCTCTAAGTGGTTTACAGAGTCAGCCTCTTGCCCCCAACAATCTGGGTCCTCATTTAACCAACCTCAAAAGGACGTAAGGCTGAGTCAACCGTGAGCCAATGAGGACCGAACTGTTGGCAGTGAGCAGAGTCAGCCTGCAGTACTGCAATCTAACCCCTGCGCCACCACAGCTCTACGTGGCAAGATAGAAAATTTGGGCTGCAGTAATCAAGATCACCACTAGAGAGCAGCAGATACACACACAGAGAAACACACACAAATAGAGTAAATCCCCGCTGCCCTCTAGTGGCTGTCCAGAGATGCAACGCACAGGAAAATAATCTGTACAGCACCAGAAGGCTGCCTTCTAAATGACCAGCTTTGATGAGGCCATTCTGTTTGGGGGCTTCTCAGCTAGAACTCTATGAGTTTTCGCCAGCGCCTGAAAGGCCAACGGCCAGTGCCTGGCGGGTGATGACATTCAACTATGACTAGACCCAAATTCAAATATTTTCCTCTGAGGAGCCTCAGATGGTTCGAATTGCTGAGGACCCACAACAGCCAAGAGCATTGCTCAGCTCTTCCAGCCATCGGTGGCTGCCAAGACCAACAGCTGGCCAGCTGCCCCTTTGGCGAGGCCGTGCTGCCCCCTGCTGGCCGGCCGAGTCCCTCCGCAATCCGAAAGGGAGGCCGGGCTGAGCTTCCAACTCAGACAAAAAGAGAGACAGGATTCGTGGCCAGTAGCGACCCTGCGGAAAAATAATTCCTGAAATAAAGTGGATTTTAATTGCTTAGCTACCTACTATTTTCTGGGCTGTTCGCCAAGGACTGCAGGGAAGTAGAAAATTAAGATTGTGGCATTGAAAAGGTCAGCATTCCCCAGCCGTGATGCTTGTTTCCAGATGCTGGTTTTAAGGTGCCAAATTTTTCAAGACGTGGGGGGCATCAATGCTACCTGGGGGCTTTGTGATCCATCTCAAGCAGCTGGGGAGGATAGGTTGGGGAACACTGGAAGAATATAACGTGTGATATGATAGGCAGGAAGTGGAGGAAACCAGAGTTGGCTGAGAGACCTTTCTCAAGACATTAAATTCATCAGCTCTGCTAGCTTCTAGTCTATTCTCTTATTGTATTCTATTTCTACTCTATCTTTGTTATATTCTAAACTCCTATTCATTCCATTGTTCTGTTCTATTCTAATTCTATTCGATTCTAAACTCCTATTTTATTCTTCATTCCATTGTTCTGTTCTATTCTAATTCTATTCGATTCTAAACTCCTATTTTATTCTTCATTTCATTGTTCTGTTCTGTTCTAATTCTATTCTAAACTCCTATTCTATTCTTCATTCCATTGTTCTGTTCTATTCTAATTCTATTCGATTCTAAACTCCTATTCTTCATTCCATTGTTCTGTTCTATTCTAATTCTATTCTAAACTCCTATTCTCTTCTTCATTCCATTGTTCTGTTCTATTCTAATTCTATTCTAAACTCCTGTTCTTCATTCCATTGTTCTGTTCTATTCTAATTCTATTCTAAACTCCTGTT